CAGGGGCAGGGGTACATCATGAATTAATTTTGGTGCCTTATGAATTCATTTCAGTGAACCGCTACCCCGGTTCACTGAAAGAACAAGTGCTGCAAGTTGTCAAAAAAAGAAGTCCAACAAATGCCCACTTTTGCCAGTGAGGGATCGAGAGGTTGGCATCGCACAACATTTAGTCAAAATTATCTGCTCGGTTCCTCGTGTAACAAAATTCGCGCTCATCCCCCCTGAGCATAACGCGCTTCTAGGAAACGACACCATTCATGAGCGTCTGAGCGTGCGTGTGCTGCTGCCATCGCCTAGCGGCTCACCGCAATGTGATGGCATGTGTGCGGATTTTTCCTCAAGTGTGTAACAGCCTGCACATTATTGACTTTAAAAGGGTTCAGATCACTTTTGTATAAGCCTCAATCATGTGCCTTAATAATTTCAAGAAGTTGCTCAATTTATCTTCTGGGGTTCCAATACTTTGTGCCCCATAGAAAAATTTCCTGGTCGACCTGCACTACTCATATACACTGGCGCACAAGAAAAGTGCAGTGCAGCTATGTGTTGCATACAGAATAATTTTTTTTACATGAGCTTCCATGACGATCAAATAGCATCACTGCTTTGACTTCATTGGGAACAGATACAATTTACACAGTTAGCAGTCAAGCATGAACCAAACCTACATGAACACACAAACTTGCTCAATCGCCATTTTGTGATGGCATTGGTACTCTATCGACCCTTCTCATAGGAGTATGGCATATCGAGCAAGAAATTTAAGGCCTTGTCTTATAGAAAAAGAAAGGTATGTATTGAATTCAAGTGAACACAGTATATACTGCTTGTTCTTGACGATATGGTCAATTGTGATCAGAGAAGTACAGATAAAAGTTGCTGACAATGTGTGAATTATTTTCAATTTCATTTTAGCTGTAGTGCAGAATAGTTAATTCATGAGATCACGGCTGCTAACCTCGATTTGCCCCAGCAAAATCGGGGACCCTTATTCATCGGTGTTCAAAACGTATGTGAATGTAGCCACTCCTTGGGTGAAACTGGTGCATGATTAGATGAGCTATGCTGAGGGTTTTGCTGCTTTGAAATGAGCAGACTCGCTGATTTTCAGCTCAATAGTCAATGTGCCAGTTAAGTTCCCTTGATGAGTCTGAATAATTTCAGAATAGCCACTGGAAAGGTGCCTTTCTGGCATAGGACATATTGCATTTTCAGAGTTTTGCCCAACGTTCTTAGGATTTTGTTCGCAACTGCTGTGCGAGTTTGGTTCATCGGTCTATTCATGCTTGGATCAAATCTGTTTGCACTATAGTGGGTAATTTCACGTGCCTTTCTGCAGCATTTTGAGTTAACCTGTTTTTCAGAGATAGGGCACGTGCGTGTCTAAAGCTTTTGCAATTGTTTAGCACTTTTTTTGTCTTGAGTTTTCTGTTAACCTTAATTTTGTTTGTGCGTGTGGGTGGTTGCCAGCTTCATCTTTAACATGTGGATGAGAGCGTGCATTTTTTCGTTTCTGACACTGGTTTTCCTGTTTGTTTTTCTTTTCATCTTATGTTTTGCCCCCTCCATTGCGCGATAACCCCAATAACCATGACACGTAAGTGCACAATTTTGTTTTGTCTAGCTGTGTCTGTCTCGTCCTTGTCTTGGTGGTCTGGCTTCAGTAGTGCGTGTGTCCTTGTTGGTTGGTTTTGTGCCCCCCTTCCGACTTGGCTGTTGTGGTGTAGCCATAAGGCTGGCAATCCGCATGTCTGCCGAGCACATCATTTGGCACAAGTAACTTTACGGCTAATCAATTGGAACATTGTGCTTGTCACGGGAATAGCCAGAATTGATACTCTTCCATTATAACCTGTGCTGCTAGCCCAGCACTCCTGCTCAGCTAAACTAATTTGTACAAGGCTTTTACTGCAACAGAGCCTTCAGTCCCTGCTTTGTGCAAATGTACGCATTGCCATCCTTTTGATGCCTGCCCACTGTTTCCTAGCTGCACCTTTGTGAGGAACAAGGTCTTGGGCAAGAGGGCCATTCCCTCAGAGACTACTGCTTGGAGTTGCATTAATTGTAAACCTTCGTTAAACTGATTATTGGTCATGGTGAAGTTTACTTTCCCTCTTGTGTTCTCGATTAAATATAAGTACATGCAAGGAAACTTGGTTTTTTTATTAGCATATTTGGAAACTTTGTGTGGCATTGAAGTAAATTAAAAACACTGCTAGCTTCGGGTATGTTGCTTCATTATGCTTTGAGGCATTCACATTGGGCACCTTTTAGGCGGAATATTTTGAAATCACCTGGGGTAGACTGAACAATTACTGTCCCTTAATAGGGTTGCTAAACATTGCTATTACTATTGTAAAATTAAAATTCATTATAGGCTCTAAAGTGAAATTCAAGTTGGAGCATGGACATTTCCTTTATACTTGTAACAATTTTCGAGGATGACTCTAGTTTTGCAATATGTGCCATCATACTTGCAGTACAATGTGCCCTTGTTCTTACGTTTGTAACAGACTACCTTTTTATACATTCAAGCCCTAAAATAACTGGCAGGCCATTAATCAATCTTACCTACTGTAGTGTCCTACCAATTTGCATGTGTGTATCTTGTAAAGTACATTTAGTACAGGATTTCATGTGGTATTGTGTTGCTGTATTGTTTCGTTTTAAAAAATAGAAAAATCAACGTTCAGTCAAACCTAAGTTTCTTCATCATTCAGTTAAATCGATTGTTGGCATCTTTACTGTAGAGCTGTTAATCCTAAATTAGGCTGGAACACAATTTTTGTACTGGTCATTTTGTTTGAGCTCAGGCTATTTTGAAACTAGTGTTGTCCTGAACTTGTTCCAAGCAAATGACGTAATTACAAGAGATAGGTACCTAGTTGAACTTTGTCAGTTTTAATTTTATTTAATTTGCACAATTTAATTTTATTTAATTTGCACAAGAGGCTTGGCACATTTCATCGAGTTTCGCCTGTACTGCGCAAAAGCAGTGGCAGTATGAAAGGAAGTCGTTGAGGCTTTAAAGGCAGTTGAGTGTCATTTGGCTGCAATAGATTTTACATCAAAAGGAGTTTGGAAGGCATACTTTTGACAGAAAAGTTGAACTTGACCCTCTGAAATATTTTGGCACATTCATATAAAGAAAGTAACAGGTGCACTTATTGCTGTTTGTGTTCTGCTTACTGATAACAAGGAACTCAAAAGGTCGTTATGTTTTAAGCCTTGCCTCTGTATTAGCTTCGAAGTTTAGTGCATTCTTAAAGGCATTTGCAACATCCAAATGTTGACTTCTGAAAGTCTCGCTGAATGATGCGAAAGAAGAAAAACAGCAGTTTTTAGGCTTTACAACAATAGGGACTTTTAGCTTGTACGTATACTTCTTTATGTTACCATGTTACCGCATACCGGATAGAATCTGCGCATGTGTGGGTCTTAACAGAATGTAAACCTTTACGTTTCCCGCCCGATCTTGCAAATCTACCTTTGTTCGTAGGAACTCGCCGTATTCGCACTGCGGAGACTCGAGCCTAAATTTGAAATAAGCTGAAGTGCGAGTGCCAATGGCGGTTACACTGTTTCATTCGGATTACCAAAGCTAGAATATCCTAGGACATAGACGCCCTAAACGTGTGAGCCCTCGACAATCTGGATAGGTGGGCAATCTCGCAGGGCCATAGTGAACCAGCCAATCACAAAATTGTTATTGCAGAAACATCAAGCAAAAATCGTGCAGCGGTGTTATTACAAATGAGTAACCTTCTTATGCATTTTCACCTCAAAAACATTACTCGTAAGCCAACGTGTTCATGACTGGTTGCACGAAGCGTCCCAAAATGTCGATACCATCGTAGCATTAACCTTGTATCTTCCAGCCTTTTGCGAATACGAGGGTACTGTACAGGCACTATACACGATAAAAAAAAGTTTTGTGATTTTGCCACAACGATGATTCAATCCTATGTATGTTGAATGCAGTTAGCATCACTATTTAGGGCTTACAGAAATGTAAAGGTATGTATGTTTACGTACGTACGTAAATATTTATGTTTGAGGAGCTAGAATGTGTAAAGATATACGTTCCGGTAAGACTAAACGAAGATTTAAAGCCCAGTTGAAAGACTTGCTGCTCAAATTGATATACACGAGCTGCATTTCAGGCAGAGCAAAATGATGAATGTGTTTTCATAAACTGCTTCGTCTCTCAGCTCGCTCAGCTCCCTTTCCCAAACAACTACCAATGGCGAATGGGGCAAAGTCCTTGTGGAAGGGCGAGAAAGGAAAGGGCACCCTGCATGTGCCGTGTGACATCACGGCTCTTTGTGGTGTGCAGCCGTAGTGTGCTAACAGACCACCAAAAATACTGTTCAAACATAAGCTGCCTGTTGTAACATTCGCGTCTTCCGACTAGAATTTTAATGATTTCATCAGTCTTTCTTCATTTTTGTTCAGTATCCTTTCAAGTTTTTAGCTGATGTTGAGCTCTTAACCTGTTATTCACTCTTTTAGTTTTTCTCGATATTCACTCCTGTGAATTGTTTAGTCATAGTAGCCACCTTCTACAGAACTGAATTTAAAAATGCCAGTGTGCAAAATTCATGTGACAGTTCAAGTAGTCGAGATTTAACCTGTGTTCTCCAGGGTGGGTTTCCTTGGAATTTTAAGGCCTGCAGTAACTGTACTTTGATGTGACATTCTTTCTACCAGTACACATACTGGGCAGGTATTAATTTTTGTGTGTGTGCACACTGTGCAGCAGTCAATAAAACTTGTGCCAACTTTTGGTCATCTATGTTGGTCTCTGAGGGGCGTGGATAGATCAGCGTTAACTAGCTGCAAGTTACTTGCTGTGGTTGTGGGCTCACAGGGCTTGTTTCTGCAAAGGAGTGCAGTAGTGTGTTCAGTGTTGTAGGAGGCATGGGTCCCGTATGCTTAGCGAGGCTCTACTGTGCTGAACTGCTTCTTCTCTTTCGATTTCTCCTTTTTGTTCATAGGTGGTGCAGCGAGCGCTCGAAAAGAAGTTATTAGAAATAAAATCCGAGCTATTGGCAAGATGGCCCGCGTCTTCTCCGTGCTGAGGTGAGTTTTCTGGGACATGCTCTACGAACAAAGAGTTTACTGTAAACAAGCATCTAAACAAGTGAAAGAAACTCTATGCATAGAATGCCCATTACATGGGTGCAACAGCCGTGCCAATTGCGCCAAACTCATGAAATTTGCTGAGATTGCTCCTTGCTACGCTAAAATGCCCAGTCAGCCTCAGTCTTTTTCAGATGCGCTAATTTCGGCGACAAATGCAGGCCACCCCAGCCACCTGCAGCTTGCGCCATCAGTCAAAGCGTGCAGACCCGAACTGTGGTCCCGAGAATATACTTAAAATATTTCAGGCACCCGCCTTACGCTTGCGAGATGCGATCAACCAGGTAATGTAACAACGCTGCACGCCCATTGATCCACTGAACGCAGCGGATACCTATCGGTGGGACGACGGAACTTCAAGACAAAAATCCGCTGCTGTAGCCACCAACGCTTCGCGGGAGATGTAAATTTCCTAGCTTGAAAATGCAGCTATGGTTTGTTAATAACTAAAGCTGGAAGCCTATACCACCTTTTCCTCGTGTGAACAAGCTAGACGTGCTGCGAACGTCGACGTTGCCAGCGGATACGTTGATCGCCCTTAGCAGTAGCACGTAAAACATTTATTTTTGTCTTAGCAGTGGCATGTAAAACATTTATTTTTGCCTTGTTGTGTCGTCCCTGTCACAGTCCTGCCGTTAGATATCCTGTACAGTCGCCGGCGAATGGGGGCGCGCTGTTGTTACTTTACCTGGCTGAATGCACCTTGCAAGGGAGCCGAATCAGCACCCAACCCCATGGTGGGGAAAAAAAAGGGGGGGGGGGGGGGAGTCGGTTGGTGGTGTAGTGCTTCGATAATTTCTCGGTTTTGGTTCTAATCCTTTTTGAGCCACCTTTGCCGCAGTGCACCGGTGCCCTGCAGAAAAGCATAGGGAGATTTTGAAAGAGCTGTTAGTGTTAGTGGGACAGTGCACACTTTGCTCAGTTACTCAAGCGTTTGTACGCTGCATATTTCTCAGTGCAAGCATAATCACTGATGTCTAAATAAGGTACTGGCAATCAATCGAAGCAGTGTGTGACATTTCTGCTTCTCTGAAAAAAAATACTAAATTGTGTGCCAGTTTTTTTTTTTTTTTCGCGACCCCTACTCCTTGGTTTTACTAATCTCAGAAATTTCAAGGTTTTGAGCTTGGCAGATTGATATTTAAATTCGCAGGGTCCGTCAAATTATTCGATAGGCGCAGCAAATGGTAATATGGACTTTTATCATTGCTTGGTGAGCAGGGTGGTTAAAAATACTACTTTCATTCAAATAGCAGTGCTCATATTTACACTGCGCGATTTACGTGGTGTTGAATGGTTTATTCTTACTTTTTTTAGATATAAGCCTTGTTTTTTATACTGCTCCAAATTTGGTATTTCATGATGAAAAATGCATGTTTTTTTCCGTAAACTGTTCCAAATCTGGAATCTAGTGCTCCAAAAGTAAATTTTTCTGCTCCGAAAATTGCTCGGAATTGTATTTCGGCTGTTGCATCCCTGCCATTAGTGGGTGTCTCTTTCTAATACCAAACAACAGAACCCTGCTTAGGAGTTTCTTAATGGGGGAGAGCTGGGAAGGAGGAAAGTTGAAAAGTTGTGGTGCATACTCTTTCAGTTTAAAAAAATCGTGCAAAGTTGCCTTATGCATTGCTATCACAAGGTGTTTTTCGAGCACCTCTCCCGTGAACACCTCCGTAAGTGTTAGTCACTCTTGCCGGTAAGGACGTTGGTTTCAGCACTTGTTCCACCTCTTTCTTCACTTGGTCCTCACTGTTTCATGCATCAGCACACTTAGGTGTGATCTCGTCAAGGAAGAGGTTGGTGGATGAGAGGCTGGTGTATTCCACCTTAGCGTAATCAGTGTATGCTGTTAAACTCCATTGGCAACAATGGTCTCTAATTCTAAGCTTGTTGCGCTTTGCTCATTCTCTGTCTACAGTGGCTTCTGCTGCACTGTAGTGTACTAGAAGGGAGCAGGGAAATAAACAAGGAGTCTGCGCCGCTTCTCGAGTGATTCTCTGGCAGTAGCGGCGGTGCTGCCGTCGCTTTGTACTGAAGGTGTCAAGAAAATTTGGAGAGCGTGCATTGCAGCCTCCAAAAGCATGCAATTGTTTGTTTTTAGCGCGTTTAATTCACCTCTGAGCCTTTATCCATGTATGCACCCCTGCTACGCGCCATGGTGCACGAATGAATATGCAGGTGTGCCAAAGTTGCATAGAAAAATTCCCCGTTTCAGGAGCCTAGCGAACCCACAAAAGAAAGAAAAACAGCGTAAAATCAGACTTCGCTCGGATCTGCCTAGCTGCTCAATGTTCAGTGCTCAGAGTTGCGTGACAAGATAAGTGGCTACTGGCAAACTACAAAGAGTGGAGTAGTATCAAAACTGAGAAGAAAGCATACACTCGTTTTTTGTCGGCAGTTTCTATGATTTTCATTGTTTCATAGCGCATCTGAACTACGATTCTCATGGTTCAGATGTGCTCGATTGTTTCATGCAGTGATCCCACTCCTGTGCCAACTGCCCCAAAATGCTCCAAATCATATTTACTGTGCCACTCTGATAATATCAATGGCAATTGCACCAAACTGTTCCAAAGCAAGATTTGGGAGAGTCTATCACCACAATAGCCAGGCCGACGCGTCAATAATATGTGCACCTTGTTTTCGGTGCAACCAAAGTCGCAATCACGTACCTATTTTATTACGATGAATAAACAGCGGTCACGTATACGTTTTAAAATCCACAATGCTATGTTTGGTGCCATCCGCTTAAATTAACTTTGAAACGCACTCTCCGCAGGCGCTGGTGACGTCTAGTTCGATCGGTAGCATGAAACTACTGTGGCGGCGATTCATCAGCAGACGTCGTTCGTTCCAGGAACACTGCTGATAGTTCGTATCAAGAGTAGCGCGGCATGTAATAAAGTAATTTGCGCTGATGACTGCACGCATGCCGCCAGAATGTCTGTCACGTTTATGTCTGGACATTGCGATCTGACCTTCCGAGCATCTCGTCCGCAGAACAACACGTAAATGGTGGGAACGCGTTGGTACTTTTCCTACAATACAGTCGACGTCCGATTTCCCGGACTTTCAAGGGACCCCGAAAACGTCCGGAAAATCGGGCAGTCCGGAAAAATGAATGCATGTGAAAACGCACCTGTTTTTTTTTTTTGTACGTATTTTTTGCAAACGGAGTGGGTAACAGCCGGCGTACAAGATTCCCATTGCAACTCAGCCAGTGCATCGTTTAAGTGACTCTGAAATCAGTCATTTATTTAATCTCATAGGGCATAGCATTTGGGTGCTAAGAAGTCGCCTATTTTCTTTTGCACGGAGTTACGTTTGCCCGCGATCATGTCTGCCCCAATTTCAGTCATCATGTTGCCGCTGTACACCGATGGCAGTGTCATCAGTGCTCGCGTCAACTTCGAGCTAGCTCGTTGGCTGTGTAAGCGATGGCTGTTCGTTCTCAGTGTCAGAGTCGTCAGAATCCTCCGGGACTTGACGAATGATTTCGTCATCAGTCAAGTCCGCACATGGCTCGAGGTCTTCGTTAGCGTCGGGGAAGCCCTCAAAGATTATCCCGGCTGGAATCGACACGCCAAACCCCGCCGCAGTGGTCTAGTGGCTAAGGTACTCGGCTGCTGACCCGCAGGTTGCGGGTTCAAATCCCGGCTGCAACGGCTGCATTTCCGATGGAGGCGGAAATGTCGTAGGCCCGTGTGCTCAGATTTGGGTGCACGTTAAAGAACCCCAGGTGGTCGAAATTTCCGGAGCCCTCCACTACGGCGTTTCTCATAATCATATGGTGGTTTTGGGACGTTAAACCCCACAAATCAATCAATCGACACGCCAACAGCTCGCAGATCGTCAAAGGCAATATTCGCGGAGGGCAGTTCGTCACACACGCTGTCCACTTGGGGCGAGACTGCTGTCTCGGCGTAAAGTGTGAAGCCCGCGTGGCGTAAACAGTTTCGCAGTCTCTTGCGTAACCGCCTTCCACGATTCCGCCAGCATGCCAACTGCACACCTGAGGTGAACAGCGTAGCTTTTCCCGTTGTCGGAGCAGAGCACCATACGGCTGAGCACATGCAATTTCTAATGATGCTTCAAGCTCCGAAGTTTGCCTTGGTCTATCGGCTGCAGGATTGCTGTGGTGTTCATCGGCAGAAATTTGATTTGTATAGCCTTTAGGTCCCTGATGTGGTCATGTGCAGCTCAGTTATTCAAAAACAGCAGAGCTCTTCAATTTTGCTGCTCGAACCTTCTGTCCAGCTTGCGCACGTACGCTTCGAATAACTGCTGCGTTACCCACGCCTTCGTGTTAGCTTCATAGAGAACAGGCAGAGTCACTGCCCCCTTGAAACATCTTGGATGTTTCGACTTGCCTATTACTAGTAACGGAAGCTTCTCGCTGCCTGTCATGTTGCTGCCAATGAGGACAGTGAGCCACCACTCCTTGCTGTGCTGGCCGCTGTGGCAGGGGTCACCAGTAAATGCAAGCGTTTTCTCTGGAAGCAGCTTGTAGAATAGTCCAGTTTTATCACAGTTGAAAGTATCATCAGGTGTAAACACCTGAAGCAAGGACTGCGGCTTTCCATCTCGATATTCGGCAACAATAAAATCGTCAACGGCGCAGCTTTACCCGCCTTTCTTTTTGAACTTCAAGTCATTGTGGCTCTTGAAATTGCGAAGCCATCCATCGCTGAACTTGAAGTCCTTCACACCCATCTGAAGCGCGAAGACCTCCGCCTTTTGCTTCGGGATGTCTCCTGACATCGGGATCTTCTTAGCGGTGACACTGAGTCACACGAAGAGCGCTTCCTCGAGCTTCGGGTAAACACACTGGCTCGCATTTCTTCTTTCCAGCTCTGGTTGATTTGGGAACCACTTCCAAGATCTTCGCCTTGTTTTTGATGAAGTCCGAAACAGTTTGTTTCAAAATTCCGAACTCCCTT